ATGATTGTGATTATATCTATCAATTTCAACAAGTGGGCTTTGCACAATTGGAATAATGGAATCTAGACAGCTCCATTTGGAAAAATGCCTGTCAGATGGTTTTCTACATTCTGATCTCTAAAGTAATGCAAAAAACACAAAAGATTCCAGGTCATTGTGATGGATGTGCCTAAATCTGTTACTAACAATGTTATTTACAATATAGAGAACTCAACCTAATTAATGCTATCGCAACTGGATAGTGTTTTAGCTTTTAAAGATTATTCAAGACTATGGGCGAAGGAAGTTGATTGTGTATTTTGATACTTGAGCAAATTTGGATAAAACTCTTAATACAGTCAGCTCTTGATATAACAAAGTAGGTGTCCAGACTGATCAGTCCTTTATTATAAGAAAATTTGCTAATATATACTATAATGAATTATCTGGTATAGCAGAAAAATTTGGTATAATGTGGTAAAATATAGAAAAATCAAATATATTTGTAAAATGTCAGATTACAGAATAGGGATTGGAATCGATTCCCATTATTAGAATCGATTCTAAAATCGATTAATTGCGATTAATCATTTCGCAAATACCGATTTTTTTTATACAATTTATAATAGGTGTGTTTAAACACATATCACGTGATTACAAAAATTACAGTGATCGGTGAAAAAATATTCTTTTTTGGAAATTTGTATAACCTTGTGCGATAGCAACTTGAATTTTATTGGAAGATAAAATTTCCTTTTTAGGAAGTTTGTATTCTGTCACGTGATTCGCAGGCGGAATTATGAATTTGGCCAAAATTAACTATTATGAACAAATAATAATTTACAGTCAAATTAACGAAATTGCGCCACAATAAGTAAATTCGATTTTTATTCGAGATTCGATTTAAAATCAATTCTTATTGATTTTCGATAGTTTCGATTTTAATTGAATCTTTTCCGATCCCTATCACAAAGGCAAAGAAATTTCAAAGCATAAATCATCCATCTTTTGATAAATTAATTAAAATGGTAAAATTACTTATTTGGAAAAAATTTCATGAAAGCAACATTAAATTATCTTTTATATTAAAATTTATCTTACAAAAATCTTTGTTATACTAAAAAACAAATTCGTTTTAAAAGAAATTCGTTATAAAAAAGGTCATTTACATATGTGAAATTATAAATTTTTCTTCATTTAACGTTATAATGCATTTTATTAGTTAAAATTTGGTGTAATAAATTTTTTTTTATATGACTAAATACATATCACACTAAAAATTCATTATATTATGAAATTTGTTATATCAAAATTCGCTATAGAAAGGGCTGACTGTATAGGAATTCAACTTCAAAGAATTTAAAGGTATTTGGACTAGATATTTTTCATTTACCTTGAATCATCCTAGAAATAAATCACCAAAAAAAAAACAGATTCTACCTCAGAAGTAAAACCAAAAGAAGATTCCAAATATTTTGCAGAATGACAATAATGGTATATAAACTAAGAAAGAGAAATCTGAAGAAAAAAAGAAGCAATCTATTTCGAACAAAACAGGCTTCAACAACAATGACAAGCTTACTATTTTAGCTGAAATTTGGATCTTACTAAGATCATTGGCCAACTGATAGAATGACTAGGCTAAATATAGTATTTTTGAGATGAATAAATGTACTCGCTATTACGTCAATATATAATTACCCTTTTTTTTTGTTTAAAATCCTTTTTTTTATTTTTTGTGTCGTAATAGATTTTGTGAATTTTTTCCATTTAGACTGAAAGAAGGGGATTCTCTCTAAGAATGAGTATGCATAAAGAGTAGAAAGTACTCTCATATAGTGTTTCAACCTATTTACCTGCAATCTATATCTGTAGACAAATATCTGCCATTTACAGTTATCTGGATAGGATTTTTAAATGGATACGGATGATAAATAGATACAGATGAGAGGATTGGAGAATATCTGTAACAGATCATCTGGATTATCTGTATCACTAACAGATTATCCTCTAATTTCGTTAGATCCTTCAGTTCTTTGACCACCTGGATAATTAGATAAACTTTTTTTATTTCTTTTTTTCGTTACTTTTTTTTTGTTTTTTTCACTAATTTTGTTTTTCTTCTTTAAATCCTTTGGTTCTTTGACCACTTAAACTTTGGAGACATCATAGTAAATCTTCATATATTTAGATTATTAAAGAGTATCCAGATGGATTCGTTAGGATATCTGGATAATCTTCAATCTGTCACTACAAATATTCAGATTGTATTTTATTAGACGAATTGGTTTGATAGGTGACAGATATCAATAAATGGATCAGATTGATAGATAACGGATTATCCGCAGATTGAAACACTACTCTCATAGCAAAATGTCTACCTGACAGTATACACGTGGGTTTTCACAAAAGGATGACGAGTAGTTTAAGACTTACTAAATTAGATTAGAATTTTGTATTCACTTGTGTGTATAATATGAATTATTTTTTTCTAATAAAATTTTAAATACGCTGCAATCAGTAAAAAAAAAAAAATTTTTTAAAAAGAAAATTTTATTTTTTAGTAAAATTCAATCATACTTAAAAGATAAAGTTTTATTAAATAGAAGGATTTCACCTTATAAAATATTGTAAAAAATATATTGTATATTAATCTTTTAATTTAGCAAGTTTACAAGAGTATGGATTTAAGTTGTTATTATTAATGTATAATATAATAATCATTTCTACTATTTGAAAAAAGACATTTCATCAGATTTTCATATTCTTTTTGACTTTTGATTAAAAATTATTATTTTTCTTATAAATTACTTTATTTTAAGCATTTAATTAAACTATTTCTTTTTGAATATTAGTTTTTTTCATTATTATTTGAGCTTAATAAGATCCCATAGGTAAAAAAATAATATTAAAAATATATTATATTATTATATATATTATTGCTCTGCAAATAGTTGTAAATCTAAAAGTTAAGTAAATATAATGGTTGTAAATTAGAATTACTATCTTTTAGCAGTCTTTTAGCTAACCACAATATTGTAACAGTATTTACAGCTAATTTACAGTTTACATCTATAATATTATCAATTTGCAATTTGAAATTTGAATAAATTTATTTGATATATAATAATTATTACTTAATCTTAATCACTAAATTTGATAGTACGTAAAAAATCTGATTTGTGTTATATTTTTTCTATAAATATATCATTTTAAATGGAATTTAAATAAAAAATAAGTAGAATAGTATATTCTAGCTTCAGATTAATCTGAAAAATAACTCAATGACGGAAATACTTTCTGATGATTTGTCAGCACTACAAGTGATACGCTGAACAATATGCCACCATTAATCTTTTCCAGAGCCGTTACCTTGTTTTCGAATCTTTTGGAGAAGTCCCCAAAGCATCCTCAAATCCCATATGCGAAATAATGATTGCCCTTCCTCGATTAAAATCTTAGGGAAAAAAGTTATTTAATTACACTATCTTTATAGGTTATCTGCTTTTCTATATAACCTTTCTTTTTTTCGAAGATAGGATTTCGGGAAATATAGTTGACTCTTTTCCTCGAATTGCGTAGCAAGAGAGGCCGAATACTGTTTTATTGATAGTATCGCCCGGAGTGAGAAAAGAAAATATTTATCGAAATGCACAGTGCTTGACATTTATGCAAATCTTACGTCGCACAGCCCCTATTTTTTCGGCAAGAAATTTTCTGATATCGCACTGCGCATTTCACTTCCTCACATGATTATTTCGACGATAATTCAGACATCTCTAATTCTTCTATCCGACCCGATTTTTATGCAATCTATTTTCGACCAGCTTGCTTAAGCAACACCCGCTGCTTTTAATCGAAGAGGCATTAGAACGTTAAATTAAAGAAAGTAAATTTAGAGTATTAAATTAGCTATGGAACAAAACTTACTGACTTTAGTGCCGTGGATGGGGATTACGAATTTTTGAAGGCTCTAGGATTAATAGATGATGAAGAACCAAAATAGTTGATGGCGAAGATGAAATGTACGATAGATGGGATTATTTAACCCGGTATGGAGAAGATGCATGGGAAAAACTTCTTCAAGCCCGGTTGGCTCGTCATCATAATATTGTTCTTAGGGAATTCACCAGGCGCCTTCCAAGTATTTCCGAGCAAGCAAAAAAATGGATTGTTTAATGCATTTTCTAGATCTGATGCATTGAACACAATGATCTTTTTTGGATGGACTTGTAATGTAACGGCTTGATGTGATTAGTCTTCTTAAAGTTATAATCAAGCTTATTACACTCATGATCAAGTACTTCAAGCATGTTAATTTCTTCATATGTTTCCTGTGCATAAATACTATCAATCAGTTTCATATATGTTAAAATGACAAATATAATAAACAGCAACTTACCAATACGTATTTAAAGATTTTTACAGTCGGCTTAACTTGTGAATTTGAGATAATTTTGTTGGCAGTTCAAATGATGCCCCAGGAAAAACAAAATAAAATCCATTTACTAAATCTTCGAGCAACATTTGTCCATATATTCCGGAAATTTGTAAAAATGGCACTCTTACTATTTTCGCCTGCTCATCTGTTAAATTCAAATTTAATATTCCATTTAATATAGATTGGTTAACTCTTGTGGATTGACAGCAATTCCCAATCGCCTTTGTAGCATTAACATGCACAGCGAACTCCCATTCACCAATATCAACACTTGAGGAACTCAAAAATCGAACATTACACTTTCGGTCTTTTCAAAATTTGCTGATCTGCTCAAAGGGCAAAACGATTCACCCCTAAATATAATTCATGAGTTTAATAGCCTGACATAAAACAAAATAATAGCAAGATCATGAATGATTTTATTTACCATTTATAATACCTCAAATAGACTATATAAGAGTTAGAGGGAAAATCAGGACAAAGTAAATATAATTATTGAAAAAAAAACTTATGAGTCATCATAAATTTACTAATTTTATATATGCACGTATTGACCACTGAGTTTATGTGTATGCAGTATTTATACGCCTTGTTGGGTCATTTCGAACCATCTAAGCATAAAATGAATATTACCCTCTTCTTCCAAGTCAGGATCTTGTAGGATGGTCTTGTAATCTTCTTCCATGAATTCAAGTTCGACAACGGAAAACTCAATGTTACCCTTTCTATTGCATCTAATTTTTCCTTGACCTTTGTAGATTTTGTAAGTTGCGAAATATTTTCATTAAAAATATCTTCAACATGTTCCCAGACGGTAGTACCACTTCGTTGCTGTTGCTGGTTCAATACCATCCAACGGATGAATTTCTTCTTCTTCGTTGTCTACTAATGCTGGAAATTCATTCTCATCATTTCTGGCGGCGAAGTCTGGTCGTAGTGGTGGTTTGATAGGACTGTGCCATCGGGAAGAACATTACTTGCACGTGCCTTTTGCTAAAATAAAAAAAAAAATTAAAAAGATTTTAATCTCAAACCATGCATTATTCTCGAAACTCTCGGATAAAGAAACTCACAGGCTTGGAATCATTGTAATAAATTGACAAGAAATGTCATCACGCAAAGGAAAGTAATCGTCTGTCTTAGATGAGTGGTTTTGGTCGTCCTAAAATTAAAATACAATGTAATGATTCGTTCTGCTGATTCTTAAGTATCTAAAAAAATGTCCATCGGTACCTTTTTTGTTCTTAAAGTTATATTGTCACCCATGATTTGAGTCGCATTATTTTCGGCGAACTGCTTTGTCTTCTTTACGTGCAAATTCTCTATATTCATGTCACTGGAACGCTTTTGGTTTTTCCTTTATGCAATTCTTTAAAACAAGACGCAAATTTAACAATAATACTTGCTAAAATAAAAAATGTAAAGCAAAAAAGAAGTGTTGAACAAATAGCTATCCTTAAGACTAGCGAACGAGCAGTTCATAACTGTTGGATTAACCTATTAACTCTTTCAAATCTCTCTCACCTGCCAAGGATCTTGGGCCTTTTTTTTGCGTTATCTCAAAATCAGAATTTGCATCTGAGGCCTCTTGAAGATCCTTTTTTATGCTATCCATTACTTTCTGTAGATTCTTTTACTCCGAATTCGTCGAACGCGAAATCATTGATACCGGCTTTGTAGTCACGTTTGAACTACACTTGTATAACCGTGAAAAAGCACCTACAGGGCCGGGATTACGGCATTATGCAGTTGCACGTGAAAGTACAGGTGACAAATAAAGTATTTCGCGTTTAAAGGTGGGAGTGATGACCTGTGATGAATAAATGGGTGATCACGTGAAAATGCACTTTCGCTAGGGTAGATGTCACGCAAAAAAAAATGAGAATTTTGCTTGATCAAACGATGTTCTCGCAATATATAGAAATGTATGATGCTATCAAAGAGGGAGGAAGTACGCGGATCCTAGGCCATTTTTCATACTGCTTATTCGGAAGATATGTATTTGGAAAAAAAAATTAAGCAAATCTTTCGTGATATCGCTGGGGGATAGTCTCTCGCATGACCAGCCTATGCTACTATTGCGAACTTGAAATTGTTACTTGAACTGTCACAGGTAAGACAATATTCCGATCCATTTTTATACCATTCGCCATGTATCCATAATTCCCCATAGCTGAGCAAATGCAAAATTATAATTGTCCGTCTCTCTAAAACTGTTTCAGAATTTCAAGTATGTGAAATGCTCTAACACGGATTTGATCAGGTTTGGCCTCAAAAGTGATAGGCTTGAAATCAGAGGCTTGAGATTTTGCTAACACACTATGCATGTGCTTCTGATAATTGCCAATGGCAACAAATCTTGTTCCACTTTTTGATTATAGGGAATTTTTTTATCGACGGTCATTTGCTCCGATTCAACAGGAGGAGGAATTGAACCTTGTTTATTTTTTTTTGTTCAAAGGAATTGCAGAATCCTGGGAAATTATAACAGAGGTATCGGCTAGCGCCTCTGAGTCCAAATTTTTCTGTGAAGTTATATCTGGTATCAAATTGAAGCCTTTTCTCCCGCTTCTTTTGCCTTATTTCATCGCTAATCCTTTTCTTACGTACCTCATCCAAGTGTCCACTCTCCTGTCCTCTAATGATTTGGTGCCGCTCTCATTTATTTTACAATCGGGTTTGCACTGATTGGGCTGGGCTGGGCTGTGGTCGGATCAGGTGCATTTGCGAGTCCTTCAGGGGTGAAGTGCCTGCTTCCTTTCCTCCAGTAACTTTGCGTCGACATTGTTTTGGTCAACAGCTTCCTTGTCATTCTGTGCCTAGACATCCACTGCCAAGGAGCCCTATTCCAATATTGCGAGTCTGCTCTCAAGCTCCCGACTCTAGACTTGAGTTGAGCATTCTCAGCATCACGCTTGGCGTTCCCCTCTAACCTGCTTTAGAAGCTCGGCTCAATCTCAGCTTTCTCAGATTCAAGCTTGGCGTTCTTAGCTTCAAGCTCACCAATGTGCTGTCTCAATAATTCAAGCTCTGATGATATGATCTATAACTAATACACTATATATGAGTGTTCAAAATAAAAAAATCACGTGCGCGTTACAATTTGTAACGTTTTGCCAAGAAAAAAATTTTTATTAATACATGCGAAAAATAAATACAAGACGTTGGTCACCCGGTACATGACAAAGTTTCTATGCTAATATACAAGCTTATTTTTTCTTGATTATCTCTTCTACACGGCGTTTCTTATTTGCGGGTTCTTCACTAGCTATCCTTTATATAACCTCCAAGTTCCTCTTCACGTTCTTGCGCAATTCAGTTTGATCATTGAGAGCATCTTTCGTTAGTGAAATTCGATATTCAGTTTTGCTCGTACAGAAAATGCATTCAGTGCTGTGAAGGATGAAATATCAACCAATTGCTATTTACACGAAGATTAAGAAATTTTCAAGTTAGTATTATAAACTTAAAGTAAAAACATCCCAAAACGATCTTCCCACCTGTCGTGACAATGCCATATACATATCCATACTCATAGTCGAACGCCTCGTCCGCCTTCCGCTTTTCTTGAGCATGTTCAAGTTCATCTATATCAATAATGTCAGTTAGCAAATGTTCAAAGCGAAAAATAAAAATCTACATTACTTACATCACATGAACTTTTACATTGCATAAGATTTGGGCCGGTATGCAAATTATTTCTTCGAATAAACCATCTATTATTTTTTTTGATTGCATAATCCACACGTCCGGACTTTTTATGTACTGGTAAAATAATAATGAAATAAAAAACGTTGCCGGAACCCGGCTTACAATACATAAAATTGCGAATTACTTCGCTACATGATACGAATAAAAAATTATAACTAGTTTAGAAAACGGTATGTTGGTAAAATTCTCCTAGGAAGTTCACTTTCTGATAGCAATAGCCCAGTATCTGAATGATCCCTTTCTAACACTACCTGGGGGTATATGAGGACGTGAATAGATCCCTTTTCACCATTTTCTTGACGATAAGGGTACCTTTCTATAAGAATTTTGATACGCAAGGTTGGAAATTTCTTTTTGTGGATCCATAAAAACTCCTTGGCTATCTGTAGTACTGTTTACAGAAGAGACTATGGAAAAATTGGGTTGAAAAAAATTAACTTCGTATAGATCGAAGTTTACTTGACGGAAGTCTTGCCGGGTATCTTTAATCTTGTCTTTCAGATTATCAACGGTCAAATTTCAACATCGATTAAGTCTCACCACGAAGAAAGCAGTTGAGGCGGATAGAAGACATCTTTCTTTCCTAGATACAAGGCCCAAATTGAGAAAAACTCGCTTCCATACATACATGCACATAACTTCTGGCATTTACATACCTTATTTTTGCGTTATTTTTACGGGAATATTTTTATGGGAAAGTAGGCCGAACTTCTACATACTTCTACATGCTTTATATCTTGCTGGGAAAAAGTTAAGGAGATAAGGAGCGTGATTAGCATTGTCGTATGATACCAGGAAGCACATGAGTATGGAAGCTTCATACCTCTTCACATGGAGATCTCTGCAAGACGCAAAATTGGACTAGCGCCTGGCGATCTCGAAAATACAAAGTCCTCAGCTCTTCATAACATATGCTTTGTCGTCACTATTAACCACTTTTTTTATCATTGTATTCATTATATCAAAGTATCAAAAAAAAAGATTCGAAGATATGAATTCACCTCGAACGAGGGATGCGAAAATCAACGTCTTACGGCTGTCGCACAGACCTGCGTGTGATCAGCCACATGGTATTTTATTATTTATGAATAAAGAATCAAGAAATAAAAATTACGGAAGTTGTCGATCAGTTTTATTTCTATACATTATAGGTACGCCTTCACAATCAGCAACCATCTTTCAAGCGATAGTAACGAGGAAATTATTTTTTATTTTTTTATCATTACAGAGAACTACTGTTAAATTTCCAAGTACCACTAATATTAGTTACAATATATCCAATATCAACATCTTTTGAATTATCGTTATTATGTTTATAAGAATGAACTATCCGAAGCTCTTCACCTATTTCAATAGCTCAAAGTTCTTCATCAACCTTCCTATCCAATGATTTACCTAAATCAAAAACCATGATATTAATCTAAAAGAGCGAATTTTGGAGGCTTAATTTTAATTATTCGCAATTTCCATACATACTTTCAATTATATTGACCAAATCTTGAATCTTATTTTCGATTCCTCTAATGCGCTCTTGAATTTTATTTTCTACTCCATCAAGCTGTTCCTGAACTTGAGCTTTATTCTTAGTTAACGCCATTTCTACTATTTTTTTCATCATCTTTTCCATGTCCGTAGTTACGTACTTGCACATATTCCTTGTTCAACATCCATTTCTCTGTAGACTTCTATCTCGGCCGGAACTCTTTTCAATCCTGCAATATTATCAGTTGGAATGGATATTTTTCACATTCTGAATTCGTTAATGCTGATATTATTTCTACGAATAAACATCTTTTTTTCAAGTATTATTGCATCCCTAATATCTCCAACCGTTCCTTCTTCATAAACATTAACAGGGAATGTCGTTTCTACTCCCTGAAAGAAACAACCAGAGAGAAACCTTAGACTCGCTCATTTTTTAATATTGGTATTAGGATTAAATTTTTATCGTATATATACATTATTTCCGTATCGATCTTGGTAAATCGTTCACACCTTAAATAATATTTCCGTAATAAAACGAATCCTATAAGGCATCTGCTCATTATAACATAGATTATACAAATCCGTATTCAAAGGCCGAGATTAACCTTTTATGCTTCTATGCAACCCTTAACTTGTTTATATTCACCGAGATATTATTAATTGTTGCGGTTAATGACTTTTAGGCATAGAGATCTGCCTTGCAAGACGCAAAGATAGCTGGCTCTTGTAGATCTCAAAAATTGCAAAGTTCTCGACCCTTCATAGCATATGGTTTTTGTCGTCACTATTAACTTATCGGAAAAGCCCTGTGTTGCAACTAGACATTCTTTCTCACATTTGTTCGGGAAAAAATAGAGGCACTGGTCAGCATGTATAGCATGTATGCGAAAATTAACATGTCGCACAATTCTGTCTTGTGATCCACCTATTTTTTGTCGCACGGGATTGACAGGAGTACACGCATTGTGGCCAGCAAAAGAATCTTCCGAGCTGAAGATCATACAAAGCGCCTTCGGCCCGCTCCGGACTGATGATCATTATCCCGGACTCAAATTTTCCGCATTTTAATCATGACAAATAAAATCTAATCAAAGCGAAACACTTGCTCAATTATATGAAGTGCTTTTATGTAAGAAGAAGGATATAATAGCTATTCAGGAAAAACTTGGTATTAATGGCAATGTGAATCAATCAGCAATACATTAAAGCAAAAAGCAAACCCACTTGCTAATTCATATGGGCTGTTGTTAGATTTGGTGTTGGATATATTACCATTTACCAATACAGGATGGTCTCAGTATTGATGGCAATTCCATTCAAGAAAAGGTACTTTAAAACAATAAAACTTTTACAGATATATATATACTACCCTTCCAAAAGTATCCGGTCAATAATAAAAATCATATTTTATTAATAATAATTAGTATTTAGTTGGTCATCCATTGTTTTTAATGTATGCTTCAATTCAGCATGGTATACTTCCAATTAAATTAATGTAAGTTTCAGATGGAATTCTTTCCCACTCTTCTTGCAATACTTCTTTAAGTTCATGAAAATTCTTTGGATATACAAATCGTTTTCAAAGTCTTCATTCAAGTTCATGCCACAAATGTTCAATAGGATTAAGATTCAGAAATTGAAAAGGCTAATCTGAAAGAACCTTAATCTTTTTCTATGCAATCCAATTTTTAACATTTCTTGTAATATGAACTGGAGCATTGTTATTCTGAAATGTTGTCTAAAATATTAATATAATCTAATCTATTCATTTTACCATCTACTTTTACTAATGGCCCTAATTCTTTCTCTGAAAGACATTTCTATATTATAATATTACCACTATTATGTTTAACTGTAAAGGTAAATTTTTAATATTGTATTGGGTTCCATTTTTTTGCTAAATACGGCTATCATTTTAAAAAAAAGTAAATCTAAATTCATCATTTCAGATGATAGTTTTCCATTATTATATAAACTAACTTTGCTATTCTATGCATCATGATAACTATTTTTCATATTAAGATTCTGTAAAAAGTAGTTTTAGATTTTGGTGTAGCAATCCATGAATAAATTTGCATTTGATGAAGGTTTTTACAAATAGTTTTAGTTGAAACTTTTTTATTTTATGAACTATAAAATTTTTGCTTAATTTCATCAAAAGAAAATTTATTACTTTTTTTAATAATTTTAAAAGTTTATGATAATTATTATTATCCATAAAACATAGTTTTTCAATTCTTTTAGCTGTTAATCCAATATTAAAATTTTTGTATTGAACAATTATATTTATAATAGTACTTTTTAGAAATTTTAAAATACAACTGATAGCTTTATAAGTTTTTCTTTCTTTTCAAAAACCAATAATTTGCCTACACTCAAACTCATCCAATTCGTGAGTTTTTTTCATTTTAAAAGTAGCTGAATGGCACAATAATAAAAAAACAAAGATCAACATTGGTAAAATTAAGACGTTATTATTTATTTTATTGTTAAATCTATACATGAAGTTGAAATTAAAGCCCCAAAAAGTAGAAATATTTTGACTTGGGAAGGTCAAAAGTCAAAATTAGAGTCAAAATGGTCAAAATTACATCATAGTCATATGATTTTTATAATTATAATTTAATATAAAATTTTAAACATGAATAACTCTGTCAATATTGATGCTACAGATACGAAATACATATTATTGGAATTCTCTTGATAAGCTGAATCCAACCGTGCAAAGATCATAAAAATCGAATTACTGGATGCAGAGATTGTAGGACCCCGAAATATATATAGAAAGGTCAGAGGCAGCCAAAAAATTTTTACTAATAGCTGTACGCATTCTTTCAGGGCCAGAATTATGATAATTTTGGCGAGTGACCAAAAAAGGAAATATCTTTTCACCGGGAATTATCTAAAAAAGGAAAGATTTTCATGTTTTTTTTGGCTGGTTGTACGCAAACTCGGATCTGACCTTTTTATGTATATTTCGGGGTCCTGAGATTGTTAACTTTGAATTTTAAAATTAATGTTTACTAAAAAAATTATGACTATTTAATTGATGTTACAAATATGAAATATATATCATTAGAATCCTCTTGATGAGCTGAATCCAACCGTATAAAGATCATAAAAATTGAATCACTAGATGCGAAGTTCGTTAACTTTGAATTTTAATAATATTGTTTATTATAAAATCATATGATTATGACATAATTTTGACTATTTCAACTTTTGGAAGGTTCAAGTCAAAATCATTTTGACCATTTTGACCATTTTGAAAGTTGAAATTAACTAATTTCAGTTTTATGTATAGTTAAATCTGATATAAGCATCATAACATAATAAAAATACATTTTTTTTTTTAAAAAAAAATAATACTTTATACAGTCATCCCTCCTTATAGTCACACACATCAGGACCATCATATTGTATGATTATAAGAAGGTGTGCTTATAGCGAAAGATCCTCTATATAGTCACAAGCCTCAATATGTAGATAACGTAAAAAATGTGATTATAATTTAAATTTATTATTTAAAATAAAACTGTCAAATATAAAATGTTATTATGTATTAATTGTATTAATACTATTATTAATTACATTATATCAAAAAAAAATTATTATACTACTATATGTTATTAATTACCTAAGAAATTATCAAGTGTACGCTATTTCTTTGAATCTATTTCTATAACTTTTGTCACATAATGATACTTACAAAAGATACTCAAATCTTTAGTATTAAACTTAGAATCATCATGCTGCTGCTCAAAAAATTTGATAAATGTCTCCAAACTATCAGCTGCCCGTTTTGCTGTTACTAATGGCATCTCTTCATCTGATGTATCTTAAAGTTGCGGACTAAACTGGTTTTTGAATTTGGCAAAACGTCTAAACCTCAGTTTCATCAATTTTTTTATAAGAGTTTATTATAGTTTTGTCATTTCATATAATTTTTATAGTCAAGTTTCGCCAAATTTTTATTAATATTTTAATATAGTTTTATCAAGTTTTGCGTTTATTATGGGGTTTTGCCTGCAACCTTAATGTATCTTTATTTTCGCATTCCATTTCTTCAAATTGTATAAGGTTTACAATTTGCTCATCAGATAAATGGTCTTCTATTGGAATTGAAGAATCAAGTTGTTGCAAATACTCTTGTACTTCAGCTACTTCTGGTAAATTGTTAAAAATATATTCCAATGCTTCAAAATTAGATTCTTCTATGTCTTCTGTATAATTAGAATCCATATCACTTATATTATCATCACTTGTAGATGGAAGAATGTCAGTTTTAAGCCAACAATTCTGAATAATCATTGATGTAATATCATTCCATGATGTAGCGATATAATCAATGGCCTCTTTAATATTTAGTTTATTTTTAAATAAAAAAAATACTTAGAAAAATATTTAGTTATTAATTGTAAATTAAAAAATCACAAACTTAACTTTTCACGATCTATTCCTCTATCAAACTGGTAAATCAAATATCTACAAAATTCTCACTTATACTTAGACTTAAAACTACATATGATTTCAGCATCCATAGGCTGAAGATGAGCTGTTGTATTAGAAGGTAGGTAAACAAGCTTAATATTAGTAAGTTTAATATCAGGTTTTTGTTTGGTTTTTTTTTGTTTGGTTGATTTACTTTTTCTACGTCTTTTTCTGTTTTAAGCTAAATGGAATGATTCAGCAATCATCTCTTCATTATCACTATCGCTATCATCAACTTCTTTATCAGTATTATTATCATTTTTATCAAGTATTTTCAGATTAAAATGAGACTCTGCATTATCAACAAGTAGTAAAATCTTTCGATTTATTGTGCAAAACCACCTATCAAGATGTTGAAGCCATTCAATAAAAATGTCTGACCTCATCCAAGCTTTTGAGTTTGCACAGTAAGTGATAGGGAGCGCTGATTTGTTAATATTTTTAAAGCATCGTGAATTAAGCGATTTTCCAATTATTAAGGAAGGAAACTTATGAGAGCCTGTAGAATTAGCACACAAAAGGACTGAAAGACAATTTTTATCCTAAATTAAAAAAAAATAATGATTTTTTTTTTAAAAAAAAAGAATTTTTTTAAAAAGGAGATTTTTTTAACATTAAATG